GTATGTCACATAACCTGCTTTCTGGAATACCCCCCAGGTTTGAGGATTTGGATATGCTGCTATGACAACACATCCAACAAGAGTTTCAATAAACCGAGAGATCAAGGATCATTCCAAATCGTCAACAATTACATCCAGCTAAACGAGTTATCCACATACAAAAAATACCCCCAAAAAAGCTGTTTAGATTTGAATATCCTGACAGGTTGAATGTTTGAGTGCTTTTTACTGGCTGTGAGATCAATCCTTGGTTAATGGGATCCACAAAAGATCTGAGGTTACCATGGAGATCCTGGAGGATTCTGGCATGACCACAGTGATCCTCTGTCTTTGGCAGGTGCGAGTGAACCAGGATGCTGGGATAGGCACTATGGAGTCCATGCAGGCACAGGAGAATTCACTGTCCAGCGACATGAGTCTGAGGAGCCTGAAGCTCAGGGGACAGATGAGAACAAATGTGGTGAAGGAGATCATGAGCACAGAGCGAATCTACCTGAAGCATCTGAAGGATATCTGTGAGGTCAGCCTGACTCTGTCAAAACCAGTTAGACTAAGAGCACGGTTTTTGGTGCTTCGTGTGTATATGCAGTGTCTCTGTGTTTACCTGTTTAGGGTTATGTACGCCAGTGCCGCAAACATGCAGCCATGTTCAGCCCACATCAGCTGGTCACCATCTTCAGCAACATTGAAGACATCTACAGGTTCCATCGCAAGTTCCTGAAGGAACTGGAAAAGAAGTTTAACCCAATGCAGCCACACTTGAGTGAGATAGGCTCCTGTTTTCTCCTGCAGGTAAGTGTTGGTGGTAGTAGGTGATATTCAGTCTGCAGCACACGTTCGCATGGTGGTATCTTGCACCATATACCATGGTTTACTTCTGGCTGTCAGCCCTGTTTGACCTCGTTTCCTCAGGGTGAAGGATTCTCCATCTACTCTGAGTACTGCAACAATCACCCACGTGCTTCCGCTGAGCTGCACAGGCTCATGAGCCTGAGCCGTTATCGGCACTTCTTCGAGGCATGCCGTCTGCTGCAGCAGATGATTGACATCCCATTGGGCGGATTTCTCCTTACACCCATCCAAAAGATCTGCAAATATCCTCTTCAGCTGGGGGAGCTGCTGAAGTACACCTCTGAGGAGCACAGGTAGCTCACATGATCGGCCCCTAACCCTCTGAGGAGCACTGGTAGCTCATCTAATCAAAGCTCCCAACCTTCTGAGGACCACAGGTAGCTCATCTAATCACAGCTCCCAACCCTCTGAGGAGCACAGGTAGCTCACATGATCAGCTCCCAACCCTCTGCGGAGCACAGGTAGCTCACATGATCAGCTCCCAACCCTCTGAGGATCACCAGTAGCTCATCTCATCACAGCTCCCAACCCTCTGAGGAGCACAGGTAGCTCATCTAATCACAGCTCCCAACCCTCTGAGGAACACGGGTAGCTCATCTAATCACAGCTNTCTGAGGAGCACAGGTAGCTCATCTAATCACAGCTCCCAACCCTCTGAGGAACACGGGTAGCTCATCTAATCACAGCTCCCAACCCTCTGAGGAGTAGAGGTAGCTTATCTAATCAGCAGCTCCCAACCATCTGAGTAGTACAGGTAGCTCATCTAATCACATCTAAACAATATTATTGTCATTTTAAGACCATTTTATGCCACTGATATAATGATAAGATAATAGAATAATAATGCAAGTACACCCTTTCAAAGGGCAATGAACTTTTCATTCTTAAGAATATTCAGACATTGGAATTAGAATGTCAAAAAATGTACATTACCCAAATAAATAAAACATGAATAAAACAAAAGAACCAAAAGATAACAGAATAAATGAACTCTCAGACTCTGTTAACAAAAAATGCACTAAACATTAAACATATGGCAAAGGGGTATAGAAAGTCATTCATTCAACAAGCAATACAGAAACATAGGGATGCCTGTAGTTTTTGTAAAATCTGCTCTACAGCACTACCCCAGGCCAGACGTAGGAGTACACACTGGGGCTAGAAGTACAAACATTCAGGATTGCAGACACTCCGGCATTACAGCACGCACACGTTCATATGAAGTAAAAAGCAGCCATCCACAGCACCAGCAGATGAGAGGGCGGATGCAGTGCGACTGGCCCAAATGGTGGTGGCATTCATTCTTATGTAAACAGAATTTGCTGATATTGAAGTCAGAAAAAAATTATCAAAGTTATGTCCATATATTATGCCATAAGCTGATAACATAGTTATGTTGACAGGCCTATATGTGGCATAAAATACATGTAAAATATGCAGATATGAAGTATATCACACTGTACCATTTAGAGGTCTGTTACATATATACATGTTCACGTTATCATTCTTTAAAAGAGAGGGGCTAAACGTATTTATACAAATACATACAGAAGCATTTATCAGTGGATATATGCGCAAATACATCTATGCATTAATGCAGACAGAGACTCCCCACAATAGCTAGGCCATGTGTTTGTGTCTTTTTGGTCTCTTGTAGGGACTATGATAGCGTCAATGATGCTCTGAAAGCAATGAAGAAGGTAGCATGTCTCATCAACGAGAGGAAGAGGCGGCTGGAGAGCATCGATGCCATTGCTCAGTGGCAGGCGGCCATTCTGCACTGGGAGGTGAGAACTCACCTCTGACTGGGGTGGGATTCTGCACCCACAGCAGACATGCACACCAGAGAGCATTAACACTGCTTCTGCTAGTCAGTGGCTCTGCCGTCCATGCTGAAGTTACGGCACCATTGTGTAAAGATCTGAGAACTTTGCTTTTATATTGGTTGTGTGAAGGGAGATGATATCCTGGGCCGGAGCTCAGAGCTGATTCATTCTGGAGAGATGACCCGAATGTTCCTCCATGGAAAGAACCAGCAGCGCACCTTCTTCCTGTTTGACCACCAGCTTATCTTCTGCAAGAAGGATCTGCTCCGCCGAGATCTGCTGCACTACCGGGGTCGGCTGGACCTGGAGCACATGGACCTCCTAGACTTGGCTAATGGCCAAAATGCGGCCCACAGTACCTTCCTGAAACACGCCTTCGAGCTGCGGAACAAGATCACTGGGGAGTCACACGTCCTGTGCTGCAGGAAGCCTGAGGACAAGCAGAAGTGGCTGGAAGCCCTGGCCAGAGAACGCCACCGTGTGCAAGAGGCAGAGGAGATGGGTACAGATCCATGCCCATTCTCTGTGGGGTTGTAGTGGTGTTTAGGGTTTATGGTGAAGAACTGGGTACTCTCAAGTGTACTGTCATATAACGAAATGTAGTGCTCCATGACAATTCCGTCCATTTTTCTTTCAGGAATTGAAATATCTGAAAGTCAGCGAAAGTCAGCAATTGTAAATGCAAATGCAAGAAAATCCAAGCGAGGGAATATGAACAGTGAGTCCTCCCTGTGTATATGTGCATGTGAGCGGGTATACCTATCCTTATGGGGACACAATGTCCCCACAACATGATAAATATCCATTTTTTTTCCTTTATGGGGACTGGTTTTCTGGTCCCCATAAAGGAAAGTTCTATTTTATAAAAATCGGTGACTGCTATGAAAAAACTAAAAATGCAAAAAATCTTGTATTTTGCTTGGTTGCTTATGGTTATGGTTAGGGCTGGGCGGGGGTTTAGTGAATGAGCAGTCCCCATAAGGATAGGTATATCCGACTCTTGTGTGTATGTGTATATGTGTGTGTGTGTGTGTGTGAGCGGGTTTACCTATCCTTATGGGGACATAATGTCCCCATAACGTGATAAATATCCATTTTTTTCCCTTATGGGGACCTATTTCCTATTTTATAAACTGCTATGAAAAAACTAAAAATGCAAAAACTCTTGTATTTTGTTAGGTTACTTATGGTTATGGTTAGGGCTGGGCGGGGGTTTAGTGAATGAGCAGTCCCCATAAGGATAGGTATAT